TCAAAATGTTTACCTTTGTAGTCATTTCTACTTTGGGGAGGAGCCGGAATCTGCATGGTGCCGGATCTGGTGAATGAGGTGGATGAGGACGCACTGTTAGGACTGTACCCCCTCAGAAGCAGCATGCACCATATGTTTGATCGTCCCCTGTAAGGACACTCCTGGAGAGTCTAGACTAGTGCGTGTTGGAGTGACACTGTGCAGTGCAGTGCTCGCAGTGAAGAGCGACTCTGCCCACCCGGGACACAGCATCTGTACACAGGTTTTCTTGTCTTGTATGGGGCAGGGCCATGCTACTGGCATCTGGGTAGCGCCCGAGCCCAGCAACGCTCCCCGTGACAAAGCACGCCAGAGAGGCAATGGCAATGACACTGAGGTCCAGGATTCCTCAGACAGGGAAGAGCGCAGGTTCAGACAGCAGCACTACCGGGCGTGAGTCCCGACCATGTCACCCAATGCCCGTGAGACCCGGGGGCATCCCACAGTTGGCCGGGGTGGTGTGAAGACGGATCTCAGGGGGGAGCACGGGGAAGTGGCCCGCAGGGGGTGGAGCCGGGCTGAGCCAGCACCCAGGTGCCTCACGATACCATGCCAGACAACGTGCTCCATCCGCAAAGAGCAGACAGCAGAGCAAAGCATGGGAGTCAAGTGCCGATGCTTTAGCTAATTTTCTTCAGATTGTTTTAAAAACTAAAGTACTAAAGTGCAACCCAATATCGTTGACTAGGTTGTATTTGTTTGCTTTACTTTTCAGTCCAATCTACCTCCTCCCCTTGGGAGATGACCTGGGTGAGAGTTATGTGTGCCTTGCTCTAACCCAGTACTTCAGCTTTAACCACAAATACCTGTATCTGAAAGCTAACCAGCTTTCATTGTACCAATCCATCCCCCAGCACCACCTAACTGCTACGTGTACTTTGAAACATTCAAATGATTTTTGTTACTTACTTTAAGTAATTATTTCTGCTCTCCTTCAAGATAGGCTGAGGATCCACTAGGATGGATTAAATTCCTCCAAAATCAGCTCCTGTTGTGAATGTCATTATTACTTTCTTTCACCTTAAGCAAACATAAGTGACATTTTATAAATCATTGCAGTAACTGTGTTAGTAACACAACTCGCCAGGAGATGGGTTGCTCTGTGTGCTCTCCTGACCGGCTACAACAGCAGATGCTGCATGCGTTTAAAGCTGCTTTCTGCTCCTCTCCCAAGGGTTTAGCAGCTCCTTGCCTACCTCAAGGTGAAGCTTGGTTAGCCTTTCGGGCTATCTCGGGCTCTAGAGATATGTGCGGCTCTTCTCACTGAGGGGTTTCCAGAAAATCCTCTGTGGCCACCCCAAGCCTGGAGCACCCCAAATGGGACGTCCTGCCCTTCAGGATGGTCCTTCACTGGCCACTGGATGGGACATCATTCTGTAACATATTTTCTCTATATGCTCTCACTCACTTTACTCAAACTTCTCTTTGATCCAATCCATGTAGCCATGATCGTGGGAAGGTTCTTAATTCAGTTTTCTCTAACATTCACATGAAGTTTTGCTCACCATTGGTGTGTTCCCCAACTCTGTCCATTCTTCTGAATTCAACTTAATTCTTCTTGCTTTTCATCCTCAACAGCTATTTCAGCAAGGGCAGATACTTGGTTAATTACCTGGTTTTTGGTCTGCTGAACCTGAGTCTGAGGTGGCAAGGACTTTATCTTGTGCAGGCCCCAATCTTGGCTCCCTCTTGGCCTACAGGGCACTGAGATCTGGGCACTTGGCTCCTCGGGGTGCCATCCACCATGCATCCCACCGACCTCTCTCCAAGCTGCAGGGATGCTGCTCACATGGGTGCCCTTAAAGTTCCTTCTTTGGTTCTAAGACATGCCCCTTTCCACCTTGCAGGTTGCCTATGTGTTGACAAAGGAAGAGCCTACATCGTCCCATCATCCAAGTGTTCACAGTAGGAAGGTCTCCACACAAGTACAGCTATGCTGCTGGGCCTGAAATCTCCCATCTGATGCTATGAACACAGGGCAGCCATCTGAGACAGGGATTATTGTAGGCCGAGGATGCCACGCTCACAGGAAAGGAAGGGTGGTTCTTCCAGAAACTGGCACACAGTTCAGATGGACACAAAGGCCAGAGGGAAAATGAAGACACAGTTGCAACCCAGAACCAGTCACAAAAGCTCACCTGGAACACTAAAGCATTTGGATCATACTCAAAGAGATGTAGAGTCGATTTAAAAGTACAGAAATATGTGTAATTACGAATGGGTTGGGAATGACACTGGGCTTGAGTTCGGGAGACTGCTCAGGGCATATTTGAAATAATCTAAGGAAGAAATGAAAAGGGCACTTCTAGGAACACATCTGGGGGGAGTTGAGTCTTCCTCCTGCAGATGAGTTGTTAACACCGACTGCTGACTCCCTTTGTAATGGGCTGGTGAGGAGAATCCGTGGGTGGCAAGGAGGAGATGAGAGAGCAGCAGGAGCGGGGCTTGGGGTCACTGCGTCTGTGTCACCCCTGCTTCCTGTGCAGGTCCAGCGGGTGTGCGCTGTGTGACCCACCTGTGGACCCTCAGTCTCTCCGTCTGCTCTGCTCGTTGGGACAGCCCAGGTCACTACTGTCCAGGAGCATGCATTTGAGTGCAGGGCAGCAGCAGGGTGGAGAGTGGGTGTGGGCAGGGCGGCACAGTACGGCTGCTGATTTTCCTCTGTCCCTCAGAACCGGAAATCCTGCCATTTCACTCCACTGCCTACCCTTGGTATCTACTCAAATCTTATGCTTCTCTTAAGACTGAAAACAAAAGCCTTCTTCTTACTATAGCTCAGGCATTTTTAAACATAATACCAATGACAGGTGTTAACAATCACCTCTTCTGGATTAATCAGTGACCTCCATGTCCTCTGAATTGGCAGGATCTCTGCCTGCCCATGTGGACTTTCAGCAAGCAGGGCAGAGGGCAGCCCCTGGCACAAGGCTCAGCAAGTGAGTGTGGAAATGAGAGGCTCAGAGCCCTCTCCATGCCCTGTCTCCTCCTCACAGAATGGCTGCTGTATGTACCCGTTCCCTTAAGAGGCAGCCCTGAGATTATTCCCACAAACACCTTCTGTATCATTTCCCTCCCCAACCCCCTGCACGGGCTATTCCATTCTGCATCAATTTTATCTCAAGTGTTCCTTGAAATTAACAGATGATTTCAAACTGCAGCTCAAAATGAAGAATATTCCAGTGGAACCTTTAAGGCAATTTCCACTCGGTGTATTGTTTGATAGCATGAAACAGATGGAAAGAAAGCATCTTCATCTCCTCCTTATGGCACACTGGAAATAAAAAGTTAGGAAGTTGTCGTAAGATGAGTTCTATAATTAAAAACAATTTGGGTTGATTTAACAGTTGGGTAAGCAATTCTTGCAGCTCCTTTTTGCATCATCAGAGACTAAGATGGAAGCCTCTCTGATTGTTAATTATTCTTTTTTATTGCAGTCACGACACTAAAGATTTTCTTTGTGCTTTAGTCTTCTCAGTAATTCAATGTTATGGTTCAAGCATTTATTTCTGCCTTGCCAAAGTTTTCCTTTCAAATGTTCCAGTAGGAAAATCATCTAGATTGCTCTTTAAACATTTAGGGCCTGGCTTCTGCTTCAGAAACGGCACCTCTGCCACTCTCTCCTGCCTGCAATCTAAAGGCCTCAACAGTGTTCTTTGCCTTGGTCACCTGTTCACTGCTGTGAGATTCCTGACATGAACAACATAAAGGAGGAGGGGTCTATTTTGGCTCAGGGTTTCAGAGGCTCAGTCCATGGTCAGTGGGATCCCCTGATTTCAGGCCTGGTGTGAGGCAGCAGCAGCATGGCAGAAAGGGGTGGGAGGAGAGCAGCTCAACCCCTGGAAGTTGGGAAGCAGAAAGAGCAAGAGGACTTCCCTTGCCAGAGGAAGGGGCCAAGACCAGGTGCAGTCCCCAAGGGCATGCCCAGATGATCCAGTCCCTCCAGCCAGATGATCCTCCTCCTCCTCCATCCAGCGTCTGTCACTTCCCAATAATGCCTTCATTATGATTTTTTCACTGGATTCATCCACTGGTGAGGCAGACCCTGGTGATGCAATCCTTTCGGGGAGCACCCTCACACAGGAAGTGTGCTGTTCTAACTTCCTAGGTGTTTTCCAACTGATCAGTTAGGCAAGATTCACCACCACATTCCTCCTTCTCACCACAGCTGCACCCTGGCCAGGTTCTCCCCTAGGTGTCAGCTCACTAATTCTGTTCTCAAAATAATGCTTTCTGTATTCTCCCCACAGTACCATGAGAATACCAAAGAGTGTACGTGAGAAAATCAAGCCAGGCCTGGTGGCACACACCTTCAGCCCCTGCACTGGGGGAGCTGATGCAGGATTTCAGTGTGCAGCCCAGCTTAGGCAACTTAGTGACTTAGCAAGATGTCTCAAAACAAAAAAATAAAAAAGAGGCGGTGGATGTTGGTCAGTTTGAAGACCCTGCAGTACTGCAAAAGAGAAGAAAAGTCAACTGTAATTACATATCTAGAAATATATTGATGGTTATTTTTGGAGGCATAGCTAATTTCCAGACATATATTTTAAAAATATGTTTAAACAAGTTTTACTCTGACTCTTCCTGCCATTACACTGTAAAGCTTTCCCCTACACAAAACCACACTGAGAGTATAATTTAGCTGATGAATAGAAACTCCTCAAAAGATGTATTGAGGCTATTTAACCAACCCTCTAATATTGGCTCTGGATGTGGATTAAAATGTTCTATCCTAAGTGATGATACTCTGATTATCTTTGCAAATGCACACATGTTTTTATCTCCAGTTATTTTATCAGCATACATTTCTAGAAGTTCACATCTCTTAGGAGCTGATACTAAATATCACAATGGTCTTTTCTTTCCTTCATTTTGGTAGACACGATTTTCCCTTATCAGATTAATACTGTGCCATATTAAGAAAGAAGAGTTTAATGAAGAACATAAACTGTAAATGTCTTACAATGAGTTGATTTTTCTTTGTACTGGAAGTTGCAGTAAGTCACAAAAGCCATGTTGGAGTCTACACACTCAGAAGCACACCTCTGTCCCCTCTTCTGTTTAGAGCTTTGCCTGACCTGGGGCACCGCTGGGACTGAGTCCCTGCACCGCGTGGGCCACGCGAGTGGACAGGTGGGGACGGGAGGACGCTGACTCCAAGGATGCTCTACTCCATGCCCCAGCTTATGAGTGGGTACAGCGCAGCTGCTGTGCTCAGTTCCAGAGCCAGGAGGTGCGTGGTTTGAGCCATGTCCTCCCACTGAGGTGGCTCCCCAGTCCCAGACGCCTGTGCCTGGGACCTCACTGGGAAGTGGGTCTCTGAAGATAGAATCAGGTGGAGATGCGGCCATCAGGGTGGACACGGCACGACAATGGATGTCCTCCGGAGAGGAGGAAGCAGACGAGACACAGCACACAGCTGCGTGAGGCCAGGTCTGAATTCAAGGACATGGAGGGTTGCTGCGGCCTCAGGACGCACCAGCAGTCACTGGAGCTGGTCCTGTAGATTGTGCAGAGGTCCAGGGCCCGCCCCGCCTGACAGTGGCCTCCACAGCAGCAAGAGCACAAACTTGTCCCTTGGGAGCTCCTGGGATGCAGGACTTGGCAAGGCCGCCTGCGGCTGGGGGTGCGTCCCGGGCTGCTCACAGAGGACACAGCACCATAGGCCAGGCGCCAGCGCAAGAAGCAGATGCGGAGGACTACACATAACCGGGCCTTCGCAAGGGCATGCGGGGCTCACTCAAGCCAGGGGGGGCCTCCTGCGCAGCGCTGCCCTCCACCCGGGCCCCTCCCCCCGCCACCGGGGCAGGGCACACACTTCCAGGCACTGCGCTACCTCCTGCTGAGGGCCAGCCGCCCCCCTGTGCACAATGACGCACTTCTGCTCCTGGCCACCAAGAACTCCCGCCCACCAGTGGGTTCTGGGTGCTCTCACCTGCTTCCCTCGCAGTGATGATCCACCTACCTATTTCCTCATTAGCAGCGGCAGTCTGTCAGCATCCTCTGACTCCTGGTGCACCGGGCTGAGAGGACACAGGAGGTGCGGCCGGGGCGCTGTCTGTGCCCCCAGCACTCCACGCTCCTTGGCTTCTCCTTCTCATGGCCCAGCTCTGTCACTGCTCCCGCCTGACACTTCGGCTCTGCCTGTCTCCTCCTGCTCCTTCTTCCTGGCCCAGAGTTTTTGTAAACAACTTTTGCAAACTACCTGCCAAATATTCGTGAATTTCTTATCAATGTTCTTCAAGGAACATCACATATTCCTGAAGGAATATTGTAATACCGGCACTGAAAGAATCCATGTAAGAATTCAGAGTTCTCAAATCATAAGCCCAGTGTGGGGTGGCGAACCTATGGCACCCGTGCCACAGCAGCAGGCACCCAGAGCCCTCTCTGTTGGCAGGAGCCAAGTGGCCCCGGCTGCCGAGGATTAGATTACAGCTGTCTTTTCTAAACTAAAACCTCAGTACTCGGGTTTAACTGCAGTGTTGGCACTTTGAGATAAATAGGTGGGTTTGGGGTTCAAGTTTGGGGATTCTTCTCTAAAAGGTTCGCCATCACTAGTCTAGTGTGTTCTATGATTGGTCCCATACTGTAAGTGTGTAATGTCTTAGGGTTAGTGTCATGGTGTCTGCTGGCATGTGAACTCCCTCTAAAATTAAAAATTATTAAAGTAGTACTTTAAAGTTAGTAGTATTAAAGTTAGTAGAAATTGTTTCTATTAATGCTTTACTCAAATACTTTCTTTAGTTGACTTAATTAAAATTCTTCTTTATAGACTTGTTAAAATATTGAACAGAGATTTAAAATAATGACTCATCTGAAAGATAATTTGGAAAACCAAAAGCTCAATTATATCACTTTACAGGATTCACACATCCCATTCTGAAATATCAATGGAGTATTTAGATCTTCAAGACATACAAAACATTTTATAGGAATGAAAATGAGTGGAAAAATTTGTTCATGTTTAAACTGTTTAAAAATTGAGATCAGGGAGAGAAGCAAATGTCAGATAATGCAGATTATGAAAAGGATCAGGCAACTCCCCAGTGCAGAGGTTTCACTGTTATTGTACAGTTTCAGGGCCATTTTTCTGGGATGGAGCTAGACCACTAGGCAGAGAATCCCATTTCTGCTTATCAGAGCCCATGAAACCTGTAGCTGTGAACTCTGAATAGTGGTGTGTGCCCATGAAGTCTTATGCAGGGCGTTAAGGTTTAGATTTAAAGGGTCCCCAATTCTCATGTGTTCAGAGGCAGGTGATTGGACCATGGGGGCACCACACTCATCTGTGGACTCATCCATCCGTCCATCCATCTATCCATCAATGAGTTCATAGTGAATGTGCTGTTAGAAGGTAGGGCCTGCCTACAGGACATGGATTATTTGGGGCATGACCCAGAAGGGTGTTTTCTCATCCTAGGCTCTTCTCCCCCCCTCTATTTCTCTCCCTCTCTCTCTCTCTCTCACCTTGGAGTCAGCCTACCATGGACTGAACTCTCTGAAACCATGACCCAAAGAACTTTCTCCCCATTAAAGTTGCCAGTGTCACATTTGATCTCAGCAATGGGAAAGAGACTAAGACACAGGGCACATGGGTGGTTGTCTCCCTCATTTCACCCCCCCCCAGCCCCCGGCTGTCTGGGTTGAGAACGTACTCACACTGTTACAGTAAACTGGAGGAAAACTAATCCGATATGTTAGAAATGACATTTTCCATTCTTCTTTGTCTTTGTTTCAGTATATGCTCAAAAACCAATGAGAATGACCTGGAAGGAAGAAGATAAAGATGTTTTTGGGCTGGGGATTTAGCTCAGTGGTTTTGCTGCCTGGTGTGCAAGCAAGGACCCGAGTTCGATCCCCGGTACCAAAAAAAGAAAAAAGAAATAAAAAGATGTCCTTACCTACTTATGAACCAGCTTGCGGTGCAATTGTATACTGTGTGGGTCTTTACATGAATAATATCTGGAGAAACCTGTGGGAATAAAAATCCCCGGTTCTTTATACAATTCCCCCAGCACAGTCCCAGCCCCTAAGCAGGCTCAGGAGTGTCCCTGTTCCCTCCCACAGCCTTGAGCATGAGGACAGCATGGTACACCCGCATTCTCGGCCGCTGGCACCCCCTATTCCACTGGAGAGACACTTCTGAAGTGGTTAGTTTTTCTTAGCACTGCAGTTATTTGAGAGGCTAATAGAGGCGTGTGTTAAGGGTCTTTGATGAAGTTCCCGCTTCTGTCACCAGGAACAAATTCCCCTTTTCCATTCAGGCCTGCTTGACGGTAATCCCTGGGGCCTGGTTATTGCAGACTGGAGAGGGATAAAGGCTTTTGTGGTTTCCTAAGTGCCGGGACTTAGTCACTTATCCCGGCGGGGCTCTTGGGGTGCTGCGTGCGGTGGGGAGAGGCCGGAGCTGCTGCAGCTGACACCCAGTCACCAGGCCTGTCAAGTCCTGGTGTAATCGGGCCCAGACCAGGGACAGGGCCTCAGGGGTCCCCAGATTCCCGGCCTGCAGGGAGGGGCCTGCCTTCACAAGGTCGATGCTCCGGGGGACCTGGCGCCATCCTTACACAGCCCTGGGCTTGGTGGGCGCCGAGGACCCAGCGTCCTCGCCGTGCCCAGGGCCCCAGGGCGGCCTGGCCTGATCCTCCGTGTCCCCTTTGCAGAGGAGCCCGGTGCGGTCCTCATCCTGGACCCGAATTCCGGCGGCAGTCCCTAGGGTGACCTCAGGCAGCTCCCGTCCGCGCCCCGCTCAGAGCTCTGTTTCCTCTCGCAGCGTGTACTGTGTACACGCAGGCTACCCGGCCCCTCTTGCTCGCAGAGCTGGATCCGCGCGTGGGTTCCCCCCAGGCCGCGTGCGCGAGGTGGGAGGAGTGGACCTCGCGCGCCCCCTGCAGGCCTCGCCGCGCCGCTGCACCTGCGTCCGGGCCTCCCTGGGAGCCGGTTCCGCCTGGGCCGCACCCGGGCAGCGCGGGGCTGCAGGGAGCGCGGGACCCGCCCGCCGGGCCGGGCACCGTCCTGGCCAGTCTGTGGCCTCCTCGGCGCTGCAGGCCGGGCTGGGCTCAGCCTGGGTCCCTTCCACTGCTGTGGCACGGAAGGGCGCGTGAGGCGTGCACACGATTGGGCACACACGGTCACGCGCGCACACCGCCAGTGTGAGCGCCTGTCCCGCTCCCCGGCTCTGCCCCAGGCAGTGGGCGCTGCGCAAGTCGGGCTCTGTCCTCAGGCCCCGGAGCAGGACCCGCACCATGACGGGGGTGTGGGACTCACAGGGGCTTCACAGGGACCCGGCTTCCAGGCCTGCGCTGCCGCGTGGGTGGGTCACCCGCTCCGTCCACTCTGAGCGGGGACCCGCGGCGACCCCGGGCTGGGTCTGCAGCCTCCCAGGACAGGGACGCCGGGGACCCGCCAGCCCTCCCCCGTGCTCCTCCCACGCCTGGCCGGCAAGGCCTGGGGCTGAAATGGTTTCTGTTCCTTCCAGTGCGACAGCGTCAGGCAGTAAAGACAGCGGGACTTGAGCTTGCAACTGGAAAGACGAAAATTCCTCCTCAAGCGGCGGTCCCTCACTTCTGGGCGAGCTCTCTGCTCAGGGAACCTGTGTCACCTCGCCTGCCTCTGAGTGTCCCTGAGCCACTCTGGGCAGTCCCCGGCAGCAGCAGGGCTGTTCATGGGGTCTGCTGAGCAGGACGATGTTCTGACTGCACTTTAAATATGCAGTTCACGGTGGTCGCCAGCAGGCCCGGGGAATCCGGGGTGTGCTGAGCACTTACTGCCTGTACACCCAAATACAAGAGCAAGATTATCATACATAACCCCAGTTGATTACTCTTCATTTTTCCAATAAAAGTAGGTAGATTTGCTATAGGAAAAACATCTAGGAAATTATATGAAGCAGAAGATGGAGGTTGTCATTCGGCCCTCCTGATTCTGATTTGGAGAGAAAACCAGCAGTAAATGCAGTGGTTTGCTCCAATGGCTTGAAAGTCACTTCCGGTGACACTTCCGGTGGCTTCCTGAAGCTTCTGGACCCAGCAAGACTCAGCTTAGGACTTTCCATTAGTGACAAAGGCAGAGGCACCTTTCAAGCTACAGAGGCCTCAAGGAGTGAGCAGGAATGCATTTGAATGTTTTTGACATACCATCGTCATCAGTCTATTTTTTAGATCTATGACTAGGAAACAGGAACAGTATCTGCCATCCATATTGTACTCGATTACACAAAACTCCTTCACCCAAAGTTTGATTTTTCTTGCTTTGGTTTTTTTTTTGTACCGGGGATCAAACTCGGGTCCTTGTGCTTGTGCAACAGGCGGCAAAACCACTGAGCTAAATCCCCAGCCCCAAAGTTTGATTTTTCTTCACAAGTTTTTTTAATCATGAAAAAATGTACATACAGAAGTACTGACTAATTTGTATTAGAATACACAAAATTAAGGGTCTAAACAAGAACACCTCATAAAATGGTATAAAACACAATGTACAAAACACAATACAAAGCAAAAATACATTTTCCACACACAAATGATGCCCCTAAAGAGTCAAGGTATTCAAAATGCAAAGAGCAGCTAAATCAAGTGTTTTATGGCTGCTGCAGGGGGGTTAAGCCTGTTTCTCAGTAGGCAGGGAATCCTATTTTGCAGAGCTATAAAAGTTGCTTTATTTTTTAACCTCAGAGAAGTTCTAAAAAAATCCCTCCAGATTCTTGAACCTGCTGAGAGTCTGCAAAAATCCAAACAAACATTAAATGGCCCTTGCCATGCAGCCATTTTTAAGAGTTTATGATGAAACTCACTCAAGAGACAAATAATGGCCGTGCTGTGATTTATGTCAGTAAATAAATAACTTAAAATACAAAGCGCAAGATGTATGGGAAGGAGCCAGGAAGAACGCTGACCTGGGAGCCCGCGAGGGAGCGACTGTGCCGGGCTCTACATGTTGAAAAGGCTCGGCTCTATTTAGGGGGCAAGAGCACCCCCACCGCCTCCTTGCCCCCAGCTATCCTTTTTCAAACACTGAGAAGGAGAAGCGGGCATCTGAGGAAGGGTAGGAATCTTTGCTTAATTTTCAGATTTTCTTAAAGGTATCTCAGAGTGCTTAATATCATTTATAAGACTAATAGCCCTTGTATTGGGAGAGTTAAAAGGCAGAAAATCTTATTGATCTCTTCATTGGATGGCTAAGACACCGAAGCAGAAGGGAGACACCGGCCCGTGGACCATCACAGAGAGATGAGGGGCAACCAGAGAGAGGCAGTGTTGGAAACACCACTGCACGGACGAATGCCTTGCACACACACCAAGGTTCAGTAAAAAGTCAGAAAACCGACCTGGAGGTGGACATGAAGCTCCAGTCACCACGGCTCACAGGACTCCTTCCAAAGATATCAATGCGTGAAGGACAGAGCCTTAGCGATCATCACAGAAAGCGAACTGAAATTCAAGGAACAAGTGTTTGTGAACATGCCCAGTGGCTGCAGTTTTATTTATTAACTGCTAGTGGGAGTAAAAAATTGGCCTAGGCACTTGGAAAGATAATGTGATGTGTCTGCTGACGCCCGGTGTGTGTATATATGACCCACCCATCCCTTCGCCTGGTCCCAAAGGAGTGGGCGATTCATAAGTGTACAGCTCACAGAAACCAGTACTTATGTGTATGTGGCCATCCAAGAGAAGAGTCAAAAATTCACTGTAGCAATGGCATTCATGACAGCTGGAAACGAGAAGCCGCTCAAGTGTCCATCCACAGCAGAGCACGTAGATGTATTTTCATCTGTGGAATACTATACAAAACCAAAAACGTCATCTGCTAGGTGAGATCACATGAGATGAATCTTACATTCCAAGGGAAAAAAGCCAGACCCAAATGTTTCATTGTGCCAAAGACATGTGATCAGTGTGAGTAGAAATGAGAAGAATGACTGCATGGAGGGAGGGGAGCTGGCCAAGGGGCTTATAGAGCTCATCACATTCAGTTTAGAAATCCTGAACTGGGTGTGTCTACGAGGTTGTGCTGACGACTGGTGTGTGGATCCAGTCTGGGGTGCAGCATGCACTGGGAGGAGCCCAGCACCCCATAGGGTAGGGCAGGACTCCAGCCAGGACCACTGCTGTCCCTGCTGTTTTCACTCCACAGGAGACAAGGACATCAGGGGACTTCATTAGAAGGCCCTGAGAGGACCCTTCTGAGACCCGAAGATGGAGAATGTGAGCCTTCTTTCAGGGCCCAAACTTAGGAGAGAGCCACATGGCACTGGACCCATCCCAAGTAGTGAGGGGTGTTTGATGGAATTCCACACCAAATTCCCTGCAAACATAAATACTCCTGTCTCGACACTGTGGGGAAGGGTATAAGTTTGCTCTGTGATGTGTGAGGAACTGAAGCCCAGCAGTCTCTGAAACACTGGCCAGCCATCCCCTCTGTGGCCATCACAGCCAGCAGGGCGGGCAACTTGGTCTGCAGAGGTGCTGAATGCCTGAGGTCAGAGCTGAGCGTTCAATGCACACATGAGGCTGCGTTGGAGACAGGAAGGGAAAGGAAACTCACACAGGCTTTTGTCACTCTGATACTGAGTTAACCAAGGGTTGCATCACAAGATTCCTAGAAACAAAGACCAGCAGAAATGCTGTTGACCAAAGAAAGCAACAGCCCTGTACCTGCTCAACAATGACCCCCTTGTGTGAGCTATTTCTTTGCTTTGTGTTTATTATCTTTCTCCCACTCAAGTTTTCAGTTCCCTGAAGAGAAGTGTGACCCACTTCATTCATCTCCACATCCACAGAGCCCACACCACCCAGTGTGTTAGCCTTATGGTGCTGTGCAGAGCTGTTGAGTTATGGAGCAATAAATCACTCAGTTGAACTATTTTGCCCTCTGGATGACAAGATCCCCAGTCTATGCTTAGCAAAAGATGTGCATGCCACAACCATGCTGAAGACAGTTTGTCTACCTAGTAGACAATGCCTAGCACCAATATTCTCCCTTCCACCCTGGGCTCCTCTGGAATTGAAGGGTTTTCTTTACTAATGACAGACCTCTGAAGACCGCCCAGCTGAGAGTCCACTGAGGATCTCAGCACCACTCCAGTGGACACAGCCTCACCTGCACTGTAGCAAAGGCATGAGGGCACGAGCTTCACCAGGGCCAAGGGAGTTCACCTTGGGGGCTCATCTCTGCACAAGCCCCCCCCCAAACCAAATTTATCCACTTTTGTCTACGTCATCACAGCCCTTATTAATTCAAAGTTAGCACATTCTGGAACTCTCCTAGTGAATGCTAATAGACACTTCATATTTAAATTGTGTGTAACAAGCTCCTTCAGACTGATTATCTTTTGAGTCAGTCAAGACATTATTTTGATTTTTTTTTTTAACCGAACCAGCATGATCTTGGCAGGATTTGGTGGACTTTTTAACTGCCATGCCTGGAAATCCTAGTCTATGCCAAGCATTGTGCTGGAGATTTTTGATCGCTAAATTTTTCTGAAGGGATGGAGGGAAAAGAGGTGGTAGTTCACTGTCTGGGTACTGAACATTTTAGGATTATGAAGGGTGGACATAATAGGAAAAATAAACGAAGTCAGGTGGAGAGAATTATCCCTCTGTGCCTGGTGGGGTCTGAGGCCGAGAAGTCAATTTGGGTCAAGTCCTCATGGTGTGAGGGAGCCAGGCTCTCCCCAGAGGACATGCAAGGTCAGAGATGCCTCTGAATTCCCATCCTGGAAGTTCATAGGTCCATGAGGAAGAACTGCATCACTGCATCACCTGACACCATCCTCATGTGAGGTGCGCTGGGGAACATGGTGTTTGTAGGAGGAGCCAGGTGGTCAGCTAAGA